CGCCCGTCCGGCGCGAACGTGCGGATCTGCGGCGACGACCCGCGGTGCCCCTGCGCAACGCACCCCGCCGCGCGCTCAGCACACGGCCAGCGTCGCGCGCTGACCAAGGCCGACGTTTTATACTGGTCCAGTGGCGCCCGGGGAAGGTAAAATCGAATGCCCTTGGGACTGAGACCTCAACTGGCATAGACACTCGGAAAAATACCATTTTGGCTTTTTGAAACTACTTTGAAAACGTACTGTTTTCAAAATGAAAAAGTAAGTACAATTAAATAAAACCGAAGATCTTCGCGAATAAGAAGTAAACTGAGTTAAAAAACTAGGAACAAATACCAAGTTCGATTTTTGAAACTACTTCGAAAACGGTCAACCCTTTTTAGAAAATGAAAAATGAGTATATATTAAAATATCTATTCAACAGTTATCTTTACTTTCATCGTATGCCGATTTGTTTTCGACATTCACTTACGTAATGAACTCGTAAACACTTTTTTGCGTTGTACCTTTCTTGTGCGTACTAAAGTGAAAACGTATTAGAACACGTCCAAAAAAAAATACGAGTTCGCGGCTCGGGGAAATTTTCGTTCTTTTAATTTTGTACCGAAAGAAGTAGAGAAATCGTAAAAAAATCATCTTTAGCCTATCTTACAGGCGCTGGGTCTATGAAATTAGGCATGATGCCGTTCCCTCAGCCTCCAGATATTTTTATATACATCCTCTGGTCCATAATACTTTACATGTGGACAATCGGTGGGGAAATAATTCATTTTAAATTAACAATGCAAAAATACCAAAATTCTTCAGTTTTACCTAAACTAAAGTTACAGGTATTGTGGGATTGGTAGTTTAGATCAGTCCCAGTGCCGCTCCTAACATATCAATCATCAAGTCTCTATGAGTTATTTGTATGCAATACGTGGAGTACCAGATTTCACTTTTTAATGAAAAGTGCATATTTGCCTGCAAAACGAAGAAGTATTTCGATGTGACATACATCCCCTCGTTTAACTTTTGTAGTTTTGTTAATACAATCATGTCATACAATTCATACATCAATAAATTTTAAAATTATGTGACAAAGAAATGAATTTATTTTCATTATTTGAATTTGAGAAAATAAAAACAGAAATACAGATAATGATATTGTTAGATCATTAGCAAGTTGACGAATTAATTACAGATGAAAAATTGCTCCAAAGAAACGAAAAATCGACATTTTTCCTAGTTTGTTATAAAAAACTTATGACTCCAGTTTACTCCCTATTCTTAATGATTTGGATATTACTATCCCTGGACACCACTCATCAAGCTTAAAAAATAATTAAAACATATTTAATTTGAGTACATTTTATAAATAGAATAAAGTTATGTCCGTTAACATTTCGAAAAAAAGAAATTAAATGTTGACACTTGCCCGTTGATTTGTTTATAACTGTAAGAAGAGTAAGAGAAATAAAGTTCATAAATACACAACAAACATATAATGAAGTCTGGTAAAATAATGTAGCATACGCTTTGCAATACACGAATAAATCTGCAAATAAATTGACGCAGATCACATGAAAATGAAATGAAATGTCAACTTTGAAATACAGGAGACTCAAATTTAAAATCACTTTAAATGTACCTTCACTATGCTCACGTTTTGTTGAACTCTCCTTTTGCTTGTAATGGTAGGAGTAGCGATAAGGGCAAATTACTATTTTGTTAGCAATGCAGAAAAAAACCCTACAGTTCGTTTACTGTTGAAAATAAGTTTTCTATAACTCGGGAAGAAAAATTTTTATTTTTTCAAAAATTGCTAATCTTTTTTCAATATTTATTTATTTATTTATTTTAAACTTTTACTCATATTTCAACTATTTATAGTCAAAATGATAGGAAGGGATTCTGGAACTAAAGAAAACGTGTGCAGATGATCTTCTACCCCATACGTCACATATAGTTTTTATTGTTTTTTGACTAAATAAATCTAAATCTAAATCTAACAGTCGCATACCAACGACATTCCGATACTCGGAAAATAGAAAGGGACGACCCTAGAATAAATAGTAATATAATTGAAGCAATATTTTATATATTTAAGAACTAATTTTACGAATATTTAGCAGAATATTATAATACTTTTCTCCAAGTTTTTGACAATATATTTTATGTTTTTTTGATCTATGTTAAAGTCACATATATTTTGAATTTTTTGAACATGCGTTCCTTTCCAAGATGGCCACGTCCTTAAAAAAAACAAACTATTCTAGCATTCAGTCTGTGGCTTCGAATGCCAATTATTCTCTTCTTCGACAGATACTAAAACAAGATTCCAGCGTGATTATGGGTAGCTCTGAACAAGGGCGCAAGTTCTCACGAAGCAATTACGCATGGGTTCCATTTAGAATTGCTTTTTAAACATCTGAGAAGCGGTGAAAGACAAAACTAAATCTTAGGGCTAGGAATGGTTCCAAAAATAAAAGTTCAAAACGCCGATATCGTAATTTCTAGCCTAAAAAATAAAGGGGAAACTATGTTGGGATTAGACGTAGGATTTCCCTCATTGTCCGACTTTAATGGAGTGACTTGTGACAGGACATTAGCTGGATGACTTTAATTTTTTGTGCTGAAGCTGCCGATTGTTTAACTACAACAGCTGTTGATCTCATCTGACGATCTGATGATCTCGAAGTCACTCTATTTAAACCGGTCAATAGACCGCCCTTTGCAGTGCGCGGAGCGGAGCGGAGGGCCGACCTGCCGGGAGGAGGCGCTGTCCAGGCTGCCGTGCGACGCCACCGAGGGCGTGCGCGCCAGGCGCGGCGGCCCCAGCGGGTACGAGCGGCTCTGGTGCGGCAGCGCGGGGCTGCTGTCCAGCGGCGCGGCGCGCGGCAGCTCGGGCGTCACCGCGTGCGGCGCCACCGTCGCCGGCGGCTGCACCACGTGCTGCTCCTTGGCCACGGCGAACTCCTGCAGACACCGGCAATAGCGAGGCGTCATTATTTTGGATTGCCGGGCGCGGCAACCGGGATATGGTAATTGGGTCCTATGTGTGCTGCATGCTTGTAGTCTGGAGGTTGTGGTGGTGTTCCACAGCGGGAACGTAGGATTGTTTCATGATCCCGAGCGCGTTAACAACTAAGGTTATTAATCCCGTAAGTATAGTGTATGCTTTTATCGCGGGAGATGACGGAGATCTCCCGCTGGCCGGCGAGATCCGGTGCAGATCCATGTCGGCTTGATTTTCCCTAACCTGGTATCTCCCACCAGCGTGGGATCGCCCCAGAAGGACATGGTCTAAGCTTCCGACTGGTCTCCCGACATGTATAGTAATGTAGGGTCTGATGGTGTAAGTGCGGGTAAGTAAGGGGTGTGGATAGAAGAGCGAAGAGGAAGAAAGGACGCGCGCGGTCCGTGGCCCGTTTGTGAAGGTTCTGATGCGGCATTCGCCTCGTGTTGGTAGGAAAAACCGCAGAAAACTACCCATTAGAGCAGCCAACCGCGAGAATTCTCATCCACGCAGCAGATGAAATCGACATAACTGTCTAGGTAGAGTCCAAAATCCTGCCACCGCCGGGACTCGAAACCAAAAACGATGCGGTCAGAGACTCTGCAATGATATCAGTTGCCCTGAATCACCTTTGCCGGTGGGAACGTAGGATCTGGTGCCAATCTACACAAAGGTTTGCGGGGTTTCCACTTCCAGGTATCTCCCCCCAGCGGAGCTTCGCCCCAGCCGGCCCAAGCTCCAAACTTCTGACTGGTCTCCCGCCATATGTGGTAGTGTAGTGCATTAAAGTGTGTGGGCGCCTGAGAGTGTAAGGGGAAGGACGGGACAAGAATAAGAAGGAAAGAATGCGGGCACTTGCTTATTGTCTGTAGTACATCATGTAGACCAAGATCGCGGGCAGTTCGTGACCCGTCAGTGTTGTAGTGTGGATCTGATCTAGTATCAGAGAAATTACAAAAACTGATTAGAGCAGCCGGTCACTTGAATTCTCCGGTGAGATACGCTTCTCTGGTAACAGTTGTAGCCCTGAGCTAGAGAAATTACTGCAAGAAGGGGCCGCTTTGACAGCTAGTGCTTGGCCCTTGCTGACAACAAAACTACAGATTATGCGCATACGTTCAATTCTCCAATGCGTTTGTCTGCAGTTAGTAGCTCATTTGCAAATAGCTTCGACACTACCTCTTACAATGCCATTGTCCGACATGACATTCTTTTGTTTCGCATCCCGTCAAACTGGTCCCTTCTTAAAGTCACTTCTCTATACCTAAGCCGGCTGCCGGCTCAAGTGTCACACGGATCGCATGACAACGACCCAACGAGGAGCCGAACGCTCACCACAAATCACCTTTCAACATCATCCTGTCCATAATATTTCCTCTTGTTCATTCCCCATAATTTCTCCTATCATCACACATACGAGAGAATGACAGGCGAACACTATGATTACAATTCCATGCACAATACAGGCCCCAGAAGGATAGTTTTCCTAGGTCGTCAACAAAAAGAAAAGACAATTTCAAGGGGAAACTTAATTGTATCATAATCACCACCATGTCCACGTAATCGCAATCAGAACTGGGTCATTTGTCATACTGTGGGATCAACAATTGCATCGTATGTTATAGAAGAGTGCCGCCTGGGACAGTCACTAGTGTATGATAGCCAGCTGGAACTGTGTCACTGTGATGTGCGAAATGAAGACCGGACGAGACATTTAGTGAGGTGGAAGACGGAAATATCTGGGGGCGAAATTCGGATTATAGGATTGATCGTCATGCGGTCGGCCACACCCGACTCGGCTCCCCACAGATTTTCTACAGCAGTTCCGGTGTTTGAGCCCGTCCCCCTCACAGTTAACTTTGATGAGTCATGAAACATGAAAATGTGAAGAGTGCTGTGATGGATGACGTCAGACCTACGAAAGTTCTCGGAGTCAGAGTGTTTTGCGAGGCGCACGCCGTCACCGGTGACGTCAGAGCGGTAGTGGTCACGCAGGAGGCTGGAACTAGGGGGAAGAGTAGGGGGTATGACGTCATAGAAATCGTTAGGGGCGCGACAGTAAGCGACGCAAGACAGGATATTTAATCCTTTTTTGTCACAGAGAAATAGGAAACTATTGGACTTGCAACAGGTTGCCTTCCCAGGAAATTCTATTTCTGGTACGCGCTAATGCGCGAGTAATTACAAAACAACATGCGTTGTACACGCCACCAGTGCATGCAAATATGTCATTCTTTCTTACGTGAGTCCAGAAAAATATCGTAATCACAAAAACAGATCTTGGTAAGTGTCTTATCTCAAAAAGCACAATCTTTTATTTTTCCTCAGCACGTTTGCAATGAGGAATGTTTTTCCTGCGAATTAGTCCCTCGCGTACCGTCCAGACGAAAAAAAGTGAGTCTTACTATCATATACGTTTTTAAAATTATTATTTTCCAGTTTCCATTATTTTCCATCCTGACGATGGAAGGTCGCGTATTTCTGGGGTCGATGGCGATACATGAATTTCACATCACGACAATGACGTAGGTCTCTCCCCCCACGCTACCTTTGACATTACAGCCTAGAGGGGTTAATTCACATACAACGCCAATTGCGCAACGACTATAAACGCTAAAAGCATCACGCACCGAATATCACTCGCAAAATGACGTCGGCAGGTTTTTGTTTTAAAGCTGAAAATTAACTGTATCCATTTGCAATACATGAATTTGTATATTGGTTGGGGCAAAATTATAACTGTGCTCTTTCCTTTCAAATGTCCCAGTATCTATGGATGTGTGACGATGGAAAAGCCCACCCTAAGGTTATGAAGACCGGAATATTCGGTGCTAACCACACGAACCCGTTATCCTGCCCTCCTCGGCCTCGCCCCACGTCACACGGCAACTATCAGCAATAATGAAGCCCAGATCTATTGGGAATTGCTTTGAACCAAACCGCCATATAATAGAATTACAACTAGTGGTGCTAAACAGCAGCATACTTTCTCTCCGCTTAGTAACGGTTATGCAATAATATTAAACCACATTTCTGTTGTACCTCTTTCGTTTGTATCCGAAAAAATTAGATTACTTTATCAACAATATTTGGAAACATTGTTAGCGATTGGACTCACTTTAAGCACAACCAACTAGAAATTATAGAAGAAGAGGAATCGTCAAGAAAATGCTGCGCAGTAAAGAAGCAAAATGACGAACGAAAAATTTGTTCATCTAATAGAGGAGAAGAATGAATGTTTTTTTCCCCGCATGGAATTACCCTCCTTGTATTATCAGCGCGTTAAAGAAAGAATAATAGGAAAGGTACGTGCGTGCGGAGTCGAATACGCAAGTTGCGTTCCAGCCCCCGAAGCGCAACGCCGTGTCGGGGGCTGGAACGGGAAGTGCCCTCCCACGCGCACGTCGTCGCCGCGGAGTCGCTCGGGCGGCGCTTGGCCCGCTGCCCGAAAACACGTCCGCGCGCTCCAAGTGGCTGCGAATCCGTGCGGCGAGAGGCGCGCTAGTTAGGGCGGCCGGCGCCAGGGGCCCTTCAGGTGCTCATTAGGTGCGCGTCCCCTGCGCCCGGGCGAAACGCGGGCGCGGCGCCGCCGCCGGCCCTGAAGACCTCCAGTTAGCACACGCATCACCACACAAAATCGTAAGAAAAAGCCTGCGCAGAAACAACAATATTCCTTTTTTTCTATACAGGCTTTATAAACGACCTTTTCTGTTGCAAGAAATCGTTCAAAAAAGGGCGTTTTATGTTGCAAAAGACAGGGGCGGAAGCAAAGACGAATTTGGGGAAGGGAAATTCAAAATGATTTCGTCGATTATGTCATATTACAGATTTTGTAAAATGTCGCACGCTTCACACATCTCATGCTGCGATACAATTTTATTCGTTTTAATGATAACCTGAAAATATTTTTGCTTGGATGTTTTTTAACAAATTGAAATTAATAGTTATCGAAATATTTTAGGGGTGATTTATCTCATTTCCCTCCCCGTGGATCCGCGCCTGCAAAAGATGACGAATTAGCATTTTGCGGCCCCAATGATTGCGTCATCACACATTCAGCCAATTGCGACGAGATAATCGCGGGCAGGTAGCGGTAAACGGATCATCCGACCTCAGTTTTCTCGCGAAGATGTCAAATCCCAGAGACGTCACAAGAAAGATGTTCCGTACAGTTAAGTTTGGTTCTCTTATAAATTTATAATGCTGTTGTACAAAAAATAATGTGTGCAATTCGTTTATAATGTTGCTTTATTGCATTCTTACAATATCGAAATCTCGCAACTGACGTTTTTAAAACATGTACTCATGCAATAAAGGTTAACATTATAAACTAATTGCATAAACTTCTATTAGTAGCTACTTGGCTGTGTGGGAGACGCCACGTTCTATGCACAGGTACCGACATTCAGCCGTCGGCTACCTTCTTCAGGGAGAAATACATTCTGCAACCGTCCTCGGGGCGACCTTCCTCAGGGCATTTCGCCCCGAGGAAGGACGTAGAATATCGGCCGAAACAATAGCACCTGAGTCTAAGACTCCCGGACAGCCAAGAAGCTGCTGACTCCGCCCGCAGAAGCCTACGCTGTCAATAATATTATTTTATCCTTAAAACACCCAAACCGGCTGAGGTAGCTCGGGGCAACAACCGTTGCCACCGAAGTTCTCTCATCGGGAGGTCCTAGGATTCGAATCTCGGCGATGGCGACATTAGCGAGGTAGGTTGATTTCAGCCGGTCTGGAGGGAATGGCCGGCTTCTGTGATGGGGAGTTTCAAAGGTTTCTCAGATCAATACCTAGCAGTACCTCAACAAACGGACTATGCATGGCGCACGATCTTTCCTTCCCTATCCTTGTCCTCTCCTACAAACTACACTATCGTACAGGATACGAACACGAGTCCAGTCGGGAGCTTAGAACTTGTCCCGGTTGGAGTGTTGTCCCTTTGCCTATGTATTTTGGTATGATGGAAAGACATGAGTGAGCAATTGTG